TGTATTTAAAAATTGTAGAAAATAAGAGGAAAGCCCAGCCAGGAAATGGTCAAAACACAGAGTATTGTGGTTTGGATCTGGATGTCCCCCAAAGCCTCTTGCGCTCAGAGGCAGGGCTTGTGGAAGGTGACTGCATCACAGGGCCCCTGCAGCTGGCCGGCTGCTAGGGGTGGTTCACTGGGGGTGCGGTTTCCCTCCCAGGCTCCCTGTCCCTTTCTGCTTCTAGGCTGCCAAGATGTGAGCAGCTTTCTTCCCCCAGGCCCTTCCACCACGCCATTCCTGCCTTGGACTCAGCTAGCCATGCAAGGCCTGAAACTTCTGAAACTGGAAGGCAAAACAAACCTCTCCTCCTTTAAGTTGTAGGTGTCAGATATTTGTCCCAGTGATGAGGAAAGGGAATAAAGACAGTTTCATGAGAAATGTCCTGTTCACTTACAATTTTGGGAAGAGGAAATTTTAGGGCTAGGGTTGTAGTTCAGTGGTATAGAAACTGCTTAGCATGCAAGAGGCCTTGAGGATGAGAAAGAAGAAAGGGGGGAGAGATGGGGGAAGGACGGAAGGAGGGGTGGAAGAATATTAGAGGGTAGTAGCTCACATGCAATAAAACTAAGACAAACAAAAATTGTGACAGAGGCTAGCATGAACTGGGACGTGGATAAGGAGGTGTACTCTAGGATATTACTGGTGGGATTGTATGCTTTCTGGAAAGCAATTTTGCAGTAACTGACAAAAGCTATAAAACTGGTAAACTTGGACCTGGTAATATCAGTTTTAGCAACCTCTACCAAAGCCATAATTTAAAAGAAAAAAAAGTGCCACCTTTTTATGAAGTTGTAGCTCTGCTGTACAGTACTGGAAACTGGCCTCATGGCTACCGGTGCCTGGACAAATTATGCTGCTATTAATTAATTAAATGGGATGTTATAATGAAATTAAGAATGACACTAAGTACTGTGGAAAGGAATATGTGAAATAATTTTTTAAGAGCTCACTACGTGCAACCCAGGACCCTAGCTTGAGTTCTAGAACAGAAAAAGGACATTAGTGGGGGGAAAATCTAGTTTCACTGTACCATACAGATGTTAGTATTAGGGAAAGTAAGTGTAAGGGCATATGGGAACTCAACCTTTCTAACTCTTCTGTACAGCCATAATTTTTTCAAAGAAAAAAGTTAAAATAAAGAGGTCATAATTACATGCAAACTTGCACACATACTGCTATCAACTACAAAATACATTTATGGCATTAAAATTAGGTAGGCTCAAAGAACATTTTTAGTTACATACTCTGCTCCTTTGGAGGAGAGACAGTGAGTGTGTGTGTCTGTGTGTGTGTGTGTGTGTGTGTGGTATCGGGAATTTTATCCAATGCCCCATGCATACTAAGCAAGCACTGTACCACCGAGCCATATCTTCAGCATTTTTTTTTTATTTGGAGGCAGAAGCCTCACTAAGTTTTTCAGGCTAGGCTTGGACTCCTCCTGCCTCAGCCTCCTCAGTAATAAATATCATTTTAAAAGAAAGACTATTTTGTTTGAGAGGCACTCGGTCCCTTGGTCCTGGCAGACAAAGAACTGTACAGAGTTACTTATTTTTTTTTTTTTTTAGAGATTTAACATGTTTTATAGGCCTAAATTATAAATTACAGAATACCAAAGTGTTGCTATATTAATTGGTGCCATCAACACAACCCTCCCCCATACTTCTTTACTACTTAAAAAAGTACCTTCTCCTCTAATTCCCAGATATGAAGCAGCCAGAATTTTCAGTAAGTTTCAGAGTTAACACCAGAAATAGGTTGTAAAGAACTGAAATTTTGTGTTGACCGAAAGACACGGGTTTCTCATTAAACTTTGTTTTAATGGGTCTCAAAATTCTGTACAGAGTTATTAAAGTAAGTAACTTACTTCTACAAAGAAGCTTGAACACCAAGAAAATGTAGGCCTTGTGCTTCTCGGCCTGAGATGCTAGCTCTGGGCCCCAGGGGAGGAATGAATGGCAAGAAGTGACACTTTCCCGCCAACCAAAGTGGGCTCATTAAAGTCAACTCTAAACCCACACTGAATTCTTCAAAACTTGTTGGAAAAGATAACTCGTTTAGGGCCATTAGATTTTGAACTACACCAAAATTGTAAAGAGCAGGCTGACTTTCTCTCCAGGGCTTCCCCTGAGCACCTCCTCTGGGGCCCGGGACCACGCAGCCAAGGAGCTACCCGGCCAGAGCCCTCTGCAGCCCACCTTCGAATGCACACCTGCCAGCCACCAACATCAGATGCTCCCCACTCCACACCCCGGCTTCCTCCTAATCCAGTCCTGCTTCGTTCATAAGCCTTTCAGAAATGATACGACTGCCGGATGGTCTGAAAAAGCCTGTGGCCCATCCGCTCTACTCACAGAGTCTAGAGTTCATCCCTGTGTCGAGTCAGAGCAGAAAGGTGGTCTATGCTGTCACAATCCCCTACCAATCTCCTTAATGTGAATCCCTCTTGGCTGTCCGTGGTGTCTCAGGGCTGACTGGGAGCCATGGCTCACTGCCACCACCCAGCACTGGGAAAGAGCATCATGCTGTCTGTCACCAGCCCGGAAAAAGGTCAAGCTTCGAAACCCGATTTTCCTGTTAGGTACATATCACTTCCACACCACTGCAAAGTTGAGGAATTGTAAGTCGGGGACCATCTGTGATCCACAGGGCCCATTCCCACTCCCCCTCCAAATAAAACAAAACAAAAACAAAAATAAACCCACTTGTAGGTCAATTTTTGTTACTGGAAATCCTATGATCTAAAAAACTATATACTTTTCCTCTTCTGTATTTTTTCTTTTCTTTCTACATTGTTCCAGCCCAGACTGATAGACTGATTATCCCCTTATATTTTCTGTACTTCACAAAAAAAGGATTTGTTCTTGTACATATATGGGCAAAGTAGGATATAAATATAAATGATATAACATACATTTTTCTTTTTCTTACTAGACACAGCTTTGGCAATTCACGACAAACGCTGAACCTCCTTATTAACATAACAAATCCATAATAGGTGCTGGAGTAGACACACTGACAATAGAAAGGCGGCAGATAAAGAACTCAGAAAGCAATACAACTAGGAGGAAAGAAGAGGGACACCATAGCACTCACTTCGATATCACAGGAGCAGCCCTCCTCTTCCTGTCAGCACCCCACCTCCAGCACCCTCGCCCACTCTTGTCAATTTCACACACGAGGGTTCCTCAGATAGCACAGGGACAGGCTGACCTGCTGCTTCTCCCCTCCTCCCACCTCCTAGTAAAACACCTGGTAGCAAAACAAACCATCCACTGCTTGCCTTCCTGTTTTACTGCATCCATTGCCTTCCATAAAACTTAGCTTCAAAGGCCTGCATGTGAGCAGCAGCCCAAGGGTTTGTTGCCAATGCTACAGCTCTAGAGTGACCGCCCCCCTCCCACCATCATCCTCTCCAGGTGTGCCCAGAATGAAGCTGAGTCCCCAGGAGCAGTAGAGACTCCACAGAGATCCCTGGGATGCTCAGAGAACAGGTGCCAAGGTTTCAAACTTGCATGGTGATCCCCACTTATCTATTAGTAACCTGTATGCTATTTTATTCACAGGCACAGATCTGCTTTGGGATTCAGAACAAATCTCCATGGCACAGTAAGGAAGCATTCCCTTCTCTCTGTGGCACAGGAGTGAGTAGTAGGGAGAGGAGGGTATAGTGACACTCCATCGTGGTGAGTACCAAGACCAGCAATATCATGTGTAAATGAGGGAAATACGCAAAATGAAAATCTGAGTGCCCCTTGTTCACAAAGCAGGAAAACAAGTAAAACATAAAGCTTTCCCGTGTCTCCTGCGTTCTCTTTCTTGACCTGCTAAGGTGCTTTTGCACTGAGAGTTCATGCTACCCTCCCTCAGAGTGTGGAGAGTGAATACAAACCCCACAGGTGCCCAGGGCCCTGGCCAGGCCCTGCTGTACACAGGTTACCAGCTGTTGGACAGGTGCACCACATGCTGGCCTGGGGTGAGGAAATGGAGCTGGGAATCCCTATTCCTGTGGGCCCATCACCCTGGCCCATGACTCATAGGTGCCTGGCAGTGTACTCTGACATCCAGTTGGGACACACTAGGCTCCTAGATTGGAAGGAGGTTCACCACATGATCACCTGATGGATACTCGGGAGTGCTGCCAGTCCAGGCTGGGCTGGCCACTCCCATGCCCCATCCTGAGACCGTGGGGTGGACACTTGCCCCCAAACAGCCCCATGTGCATGGCCAGGCCCCAGTGGGAATGGAAAGCAGGAGGAGATGCTGAGCAGTGACAGAGATGGGAAGGTCCAGCAGGGTGCCAATGGGCCAGGAAGGACCACCCAGGTGCCATGGGCCAAGAACCACCCAGCTAGGCAGGGAGTGGCAGGATGTCCTGCAAGCCAGGGCTCCAACCCCTGGTGCTCGCTCCATTATCCCACTGGATTACAGTTATAAAACATAAATTCAAGTCAAATAATTAAAAATTTCAAGAGAGTGACTACGTAGCACTAAACCCCACGCAAGGGACCCATCTGAGCATGTGGCGGCCAACAACCGTGCTGGTTACAAGCCGAAGATGGTTTCCCACCAACCCCAGAAGTAAAACACAGATGCCAGCCTTCCCTTTTTGTTATAAAACAGCACCTCCAACTCATTTTACCTTGCAGAGGCTGCTCTAGCAGAGGAGGGAGCAGAGTTTCACACCTGCCTGTTCAGTCGCCCCTCCCATGGCTCTGCAAGAGAACTGATGCAGTGAGGTACAAGTTGTCTTGATGGTTACAGAAATATCTCAAACCTAACTTGGCTTAGGGATTTTCTTAAAGTGTCTGGGAGATTAAGAAAGAGAGAGGATCAAGGGTTAATTACTTATTAAGTGGCTCTGGGTTGATGGTTTGTTAAAAACTGGGCCATTATCCAAAGTCATTACTTTAGTGCAAGAATATAATAATCTGGTTGCTGAAAGCATGAGTTTTACAAACCTTGGCTTCTGGGTCACTGTTGATACTACAAGAATCATCATCGTCAGCATGAGGGGCATTTCTAGAACGAAAAACAAGAAACTGGTCTTAGAATTCTATGGCAAAGAGCAAAAGCCACATGCTTGGGGTGTTTCCAGCATCCTACCTGAGTTTCAAAGATGCATAGCGTAGTGTTGCTCCTTCAAATTCTTTTAAACTAGGATCTGGGTTAACTGTGGCTGCATGCAAATCCTAAAGGAAAACAGATCCTTGTTAATGTACAATAAGGGGAGGGGGCTCCTTCCATTGCCTCAAATATCAAAGGGGAGCAAAGGCCCCAGCAGAGGTGGAGAATGTGTGGGAGCTTAGGCAGGAAAAGGCATGCAAGGGCTGCTGGAGGCTGATTCAGTGCACAAGCGCCTGCCCTCACAGGACAACAGGGGACCTGGGGCGATCAGCTTCAAGTCATTCACAGTGGGATACCGAAATGGGCAACACAAGTGTGAGCCACACGCCCCCAGCAAGAAGCCCCATCACTCCGTCCCTGCAGAAGGCACAATATTCACGAAGGAGAAAAATAGACAGCCACAGCCATGCAGAAAGGAACAAAATATTAAAGGATCTAAAATCTGACAATATACTTGCCTTCCAAATGTCACTATTAATCTTTCCCCCATTCAGAACAGCAAAATCACTCCATGGCTGTTTCTAGACATATAATTATTCACATAGGGAAAAAGCACATTGATTTAACGGAAAAAGGGAGAAAAAGAAAAAAAACACACAAGACACTGTTGTTAGCATTGATATTCACAGGGTGGGTTAGGGAACAAATTAACTCTAACAGCAACTTGTTAAGCTCGCTCTCTCTAAGACTAGATTATTACCTGAAGATGGGGCAGGGAGAGAGATGGTACTTTCACTACTTACCACAACAAGTGACTTAACATTGTTAGAAGAAGACAGTGAAATTATTTGTTAAATGTAGTCTTAAAAGCAAACCAAAGCTTCCAAGCATTAAATCCCTAGCATACCTATTCCATAGGAAACCCCCCCCGCCATCAAATACAAGGGTTTTCTAGAGATGAGGGTGAAAGAGGGATGACACAGTGCTGTTTGGAAACTGGGGCAATGCTCTTCTTGAAGGGCACAACAATCTGGCTAAGGACAAGTTACTGTCACTTAAAGAAAAAGACAATGAGAGGGAGAGATTAGTAAGAGGTAGAGAAGGACATCGACACATTGCTGAAATTTATTTAACCCAGCTAAAAAGGTTCCCAACAATGTAAGGTAAATTTCCCTAATTCATAAGCAGCTCCATTACTTTGCCACACAAGCCTCTTTAGAGATTAATATCTGGGAACAAAATGATTTCCTAAACATAATCACAAAAGCATGGAGCCTTCCCGCATAGAAAAGGTCTTGGCAATAGATCTTTGCATCTAAACAACTCCCTCCATCCGAGGGACAAAGAGGGGATGTCTTTTCTTTCTGTTATACCAAGGGAATATTCCAATTTTCTTCATCTAATATTTGCAAAAATAAATGAAATTAATAAAACTCTAGGATGGTCTACTGACTTTTTAGGCAAGTGTCTTTTCTTTGGCAATAAAGCAACAAAGGGAAGTTTTCAACTAAATAGCTTTTCAGCCAAAGGTCTTTGAAAATGAGAAGTAAATGCTGACCTAGAACCTTCATTCACATTTATATAATTTGTAAGCTGCTAAGAGCAGATGAACGGAAGTTCCAACATCCCAGGTGTGAAAAGATGCATCTATTTGATGAGGCAAAAGCATCCAGGAATGAGATCCCGTATTACTACCAGACAGGTGGGGCTTGCTCTCTTCCTTGGGCACCTGAACTGCAGTGTTCAAAATACAAAAGAACTCCGATCACTACACTTATTTTTAAAAAGAATTTCTTTTAATGACTAAAAGGGATGGAATGCTGCCCAACCCCCACCTCTCTCCCCTAAAGCAGGGTTAGGCCTGTTTAAAGGGCAGACTAGCCTGTTAGTTCAGAGGATCTGGGAGCCCACAACATGGGGGTGGGGTCTTGGGCATGCGTGTTTCCTAAGGAAGAGATGCCTATTGTGTTTTCAGAGGGCTCAATGACCAGAGAAAAGCTTTATAATCGCCACTGTAGTGGTTCTAACAAGGGCTCACGATAAATATCTAAAATATCAAGTACAAAATAAATTATCAAGTTAGAATTTCTTTTAAAGCAGAAAATAAGCCAGTCTGGCTCAAAATTGTCACCCTTGTTTTGCAAGTGGGCAACATTTGTTTTTCATTTAGGTTGAACTCTGAAAAAGGCTATGAGATAATGAATAAGGGACACTTGAGATAATGTGTATATAAACATTTAAAGAAAAGGAGGGGTGTCTAAAAAAGAAATCTGAAATGAGGAATCATTCAAGAGGGGCTCTTTGCTGGGTGAAAGAACAGCATTTTCGATGACCAGAGTCCAGAAAAGCTTTAGCACTTAATGAAAACAGGTCTCTGTGTGCATGTGTGATTTTTTACTTTTTTAAATATATATGCTCCTTGGACACAAGAGTCTCTGTAAAGTGAAAGCTGATCACAGTTTTAGGACTATCTGCACCCAGCCCAGATGTTATGGAACATGAGTTGGCTTGTGTTATGGCCACCTTCCAACAATCACCTTTTACAGATTTAGATAAACAGAGGTCCTACACAGGTATTTTGCAAAACCTTACAATAACATGGGCACTCCTAAGGAGATGTTTTATTTATTTATTTATTTTGGTACTGGCGATTGAACTCGGGACCTTGAGCTTGTGAAGCAGGCACCAGAACCACTGAGCTAAATCCTGGGCCCCAGGAGATGTTTCACTATAAAACTCAAGTAAGGAAAAATGTAAACTGGCATTATGTATGTTATGACTGGGCTACAGATCTTTTTTTCCCTCCTATATTTAAGAACATTCATTTATATCAAAGACGAAAAATTTTCTCCCTAATATAAGTGACCATAATTCCTTTTCTTTTTTGTAATGCAAGTCAATAAAGGACAAAAACACTGTGTCTTAAATTTTAAAGCTACACCATCTAAGAGTCACCTAATTGTTTTTAAGGGAGAATAATTTTTACATGCAGTTAATAATTTTAGCTAATAGTTTTTTTTTTTAATCCACAAGAGATTCTTTTTGGTTCTACAGAATGTGTAGCCACCCTGACCTGTAGTCTTGGTAGTAGGGTGGGAGAGATAAAGGAAGAGAGAAAGAGAAAGCAGTAAAAGACAACACCCAGGGAGTAGGGCAGCAGTGGACAGAGACCATCTTCCCTGGGCAACAACCTTCCAACTGCTGACCTTCTAGGGCACGATGCCCAAGCCCTATACAGCCAAGCCATGCTCTGGTGCCAGAGTTGTCCCTGGGGACACAGTTGCCTCGTGCTTGTCCTGATCTGGCCCAGGGTGCAGCAGCCCTTACTCTGAATACGGCCATCAAGCTGAGTTGTGGGAAAGCCCTGGAGCCTCAGCACTGAGAGCAGTATATCTGGCATGTGTGGGAAGGTGGCCCAGTGCCTGGAACATGGCACCCTTCATCACCCTTCAGCACCACACAAAGACCCTGCGAGCATGGACCCACTAAGGAAGCCATCGGATAATCTAGGTTTCTGAGGACAGCCTCTTCCATATTTCTCTTCTGGGTTCTTAGAAAGCAATTCCACAAATTATACAAAAATTATGTATTACCCTGCCAGAAAAGGCTAACATCAGGGGTAGTCCTTGACAATGCTGATGAAGTGTTCGTGAGGTGTCTCAGTGGCTGGGAAGTCCCTGTGAGGGAATTTTCTTTTGGCTATGCTATGGTATGAATGCAGCCTCCAAAAGGCATGTGAGAAACAGCCCTTAGTGCAGCAGTGTAGGGAGGTGGGGCTTACAGAAGCTGGTTACATCATGAGGCTTCTGCCCCCATGAATGGACTGATGTCAATTAATAAAGGGCTGAGGCTGTATGTTCATTCTCTTCTCTCAGCTCACAAGATGATGCACCAAGAAGGCCTCTGCCAGTGCGGTCCCTTGAGCTTACACTCCCAGCCTTGATAAACATATGCCCATAGATTTCTGTTCACCTGGTGTCTGCTGTAGTCTGTTATTGGAGCACAAAGCAAACTTTCTTCGGATGCTAAGAAAGTCTCTGTGAAGTGGTATAAAAATGCAAACCAGAAGTGGAGACAGAAGGGCAGAACCCAAGAAGAAGTAGAGAGAGAGGAAACCACTGGCATATTCTGCAGTGGCCTAGACAGAGGCTTCACCTCTTCATCACCGCATCATCTCTGTGTGCACCTCTGCAGCTCAAAAGCCAGCACAGCCCGAGGAAAAGCCAGGGCCCCCATCCTACTAACTCTGCTGTCCTCTGCTGTGTGGCCTTGGTTCCCTCATACATAAACAAGGCCAAGAAGACCTCCCCTCTGAGGGGGGACACAGCAAGGTAATGGTGGTCGCTCTTAGCACAGGAACTGGCTGCCCAAAGGTGCCCCACAGATGACAGTGTCCTTGTCGTCTACTCTTTCTTTCCATGCAGGAAACAGAGTTTGATGCTTATGAAGTGTTCGAATCATACTTTTTCATCCTGTCTCATCAAGACTTGGGCCTGGACAAGTGTGGCCTCAATGGAAATGGCATAAAACCTGGGATATGGAAATGTAAGGAATGGGCAGGCAGCATGACAGTGCTTTGTACTGTTCTATGTGCACATCTTTTCCTTTTTGAAGCACTCTCTGTGTTTTTCATGGATGCAACACTATTAGAAGAGTATAGTACTCTCCTTTATCCTTGGTTTTGCTTTCTGCAGGTTCAGTTACCTGCGCTCAACTACACACCAACAATATTAAATGGGAAATAACAGAAATAAACAACTCATACATTTTAAATTGTACCTCATTCTGAGTGGCATGATGAAATCTCATGCCAGCCTTCTCCATCCTTCCTGGGAAGTTAAGGCATCCTTTGTCCAGCATATGCACACTGTATATAATCTCTACCTGTCAGTAACTTAGTAGCATTCCTGGTGACCCCTGTCATGCTGGTGCAGTACACAACTGGTGTGGCACTACCTAGGATTTTATGAGGACACTATGGGGTCTTAGGATGTATCCCTAGCAGATATTGTATAGCATTATGGTTTCTCATACAAACACAACTCAGAATTCTTTTAAAAAATAAGAACGATAAATAGACTGACAAAGGCTATTAAAAAGCGCAATTAAATTTGTCTCCATGAGCACCAAGACATCTAGGGGTCTTGGGCTGGCTCTGCTGCTACAGCAAACCCACTAACAGGGTCCTCAGTTATAAGGCTGGCTTCTCCTTCATTCAGCACACATCTCATGAACTTCACCATGTACCAGCAACCACGCTAGGGCTGGGGAAGCAAGATGAGTGCACTGGGTCCCAAGCCCCCAAGGAGCCTTCTGGAGGGAGACTGACATGCCCAAATAATGATGCTATGAAAGGATGTGACAGAAATAAAGAGCATCCAGAGTACAGAGGTGAAAGCAATAGTTTTTGAAAAGAGATGCTGGGTGATGAAGTGATACATACTGCTGTCATACTCAGCATCAAATCCCCGGAACAGCTGTGTAAAGGCATATCCCAAAGCCCTGCTCCCAGAGCATCTGCCTCAGTGGCCTGAGATGGAACCAAAAAATCAGCATATTTTACAAGCTGGTTGCCACCAGCTCACTCACTAGGCCCTTCTCCAAGTTTCTCTCTCTATCTCTAAAATGCCATGATTACTTGAGTGAGTCCAGAAGTTCAGTGAATGGTCTTTTCCACTGTTGTCTGATGTCTAAGTGGACATGGAAACACAGAGGTTCTAAGGCAATTATGTTTTGCCCCTCCTGGAAAGGCAGCTGTTCGGGGCATAGAGACCATGAGTACCTCAACAAGACAAGAGTCATTTATGGTCCCAGTTCTGAGAATCAATTCACCTGCCCTAACTCCAGACCCACTTTTTTCTACACTCTCTTCTTGAGGAACTCCAAAATACCTTCACTTGAAAGACTGCAGGATTTTGCCATAAGCCAATAGTTATTCATGAAAATATTTTGTGTGGCTCTTTCTTTACTCTAAAATTCAATATCCAAGTAATTTGGAACAAATAAATGGTTTAGGGGAAGGATTACTGTGTGCCAAATTTCAACAGCAAATGTTTCCTGGCCAGTTTATAAACTTTCAAAAAGACTGCTGGCATGTGCAGGGGAAAACATTACCCACTGCGCTTAACACTTCCCAAGTGAACTTTGGAATGTGAAATGTAAAATTTTCAAACTGTAAGGAAGCCTTCAGTCTTAAATTTTTGTGGAGTCAACAGATTTGGCAATTATTTACTTGATTTTTTTTTTCAAGCCAGCTCAGGAAAAGGGTGAATAAAATATGCATTTTTAACATGACACATTACAGGTTTCTTCTCGTCCTTAACATTTTGCTTTCTGTCAAGTTTCAAAATTAGTTGAAATAGATTCTATTTAGGGATCAAAGAAATGGTGTTAGAGAAATAATCATTTTTCTTCAGCTGTCATTTGCACCTGAGACACTGTTATTAAGAGAAGTCATTTTCTAGAAAGCTTTGCATACTGCACAGCCTTCCCTTGGCAGGAGACGAAGAGCTAAGCCTCTTCATGTATTTTGTGAAGCTCAGGATGGAAGTTGGGGTCAACAGACCTGAATTCAATGTTGACTAGCTCTGTGATCTAATGCACACTCCTTAACCTCTCTGTGTCTGTGTTCTCAGTACTCCTGGGACAGGAACCATGCCTCAAAGGTAGTCTAGCCTCCTTACCTCAGGGACAAAGGGAGACAGAGTAGACCGAAACCTAGAGTAGGATGAATGAACTCTGAATCCAGTGCCAGTGCTACCTCTGGTCACTGACCTCTCTATGCCTCAGTTTCCCCATTGGTAACATATGGATGCTGGTACCAGGTGACTCTTTGCTACCCTGGCATTCTCCAGTTGTAGGATATTCGGTGAACACAATTAAAGGATTGGGATAAGGGAACAAAGTTCTAGATGGAGAAACACTCTAACAGAGATACTGAGAAAAGTAATGCCCAGGTAAGGAGAACAAGTCTGCCTGGGTTGAGAACAGAGGTTGGTCCTGGCCAGCTCCCCTCTTGGGTGACCCCTGTGGTACAGGAGGAAGCCAAGGGTACATCTGGGCTGCAACAGCATGAGATTCCCCTCCATGCCAAGCTCCTCGAGGACTGGGGCTGTGTCAGTTTATCTTTATCCCCCAGTACATGTAACCCAAGATGAATCAATCACTAAATGGAAATTGCCAAGAGAGCAGAAATATTATGCTTCAATAAAAACATTATCAAAATTATCTAGTAATAAGCATCAAAATCCTATGTATGTGGTGCAATGGTATGAAGAGTATGCTGGATGATCAGAGCAAAGTACAGACCAACCAAGGTCCTGGTTTTACCCATGAGGTTTTAGCTCTCTGACCCATCACTTTGAAGACAGGAGCTAAGGCCGCAGCCGATGTGGTGACCTGTAACAGTAGGAATGTGATTTCACAGTAGGTCTCACTGCTTCCCAGAGAAGAATAAGTAAGTAATCAAAGAGTTAAAATAAGATGCTGTCTACTTTTAAAGATAGGAAGTGTGCTAACAGTTGCAAATAGAGATGCCTTGCAGGTTAGAGATGCAGCTCCAATGGACTTCATGTCCTCAAATTGAAGGGAAATGGAGATTTCTACAGAACAAACACTATCATCAGAAAAAGGCAGAAATGCCCGGGTAATAGAGAAACTACTTTTCTAAAAAAAAAAAAAAATCACTTGTGACTTTTCCCAACTAAAATTCTCTTAAATATCCTGTTATTAGAATTTACAAAGGTTCACTGCAGGAGTCTTCATATTGCTATATACCATAATGGAATATTTCAATGCCTCAATTCTTTGTTTAAACATCCAGATTTCTTCCTCAGGGACAACACAAATTTATGCTGCTAATTATTTCTAAAATAATGTCACTTCTGCTAAATAAACAGATTCTTTTAAAATAGAAATTTAGCATTTAAGGGCTCTCAAGGGTTATTCTTGCAGACACTTCTCCATGCTAGCAAACGAACCCAAGGCTAATAAGATACATGGTAATTATAACATGCCTGGTCCAGAGACATTCTTCTGCATGTAAATATTTTATTGAGCTAGCACCATGAAATGGTACCTGCAGAATAAATTACCGCCTCTAGGAACCCTAAGGGGATCTTAACTACTTCTCATTAATCAGTTCCTCTTGATTTCTGTACCTAGAACGATGTTTCAAGAGACCAAAAGCCATTAAAAGTGAAAACACCCCTGAAAGATGGATATTAACACTATGTACCAAAAGGAAGCATTACTGATATTTCAAATGCAACATGCATGAGAGTCAAAAAGCTTACCTCAATGACCTGTTAGAGCAGAAGCAACTAGTCTAAAGAGAAATCACAAGTTACATCTACTCTAGTAAAAGCTGGTAAAAAGACATTCCATTTTACCTCATTCTCTGGGGTGGGAGATGGCGTTACAGAACTAAGAGACCCTTTCCTAGAACCCTGAAGATCCGCTGGGATGGAGACAGGCCGTTCCCACTGAGTTGTTCCTGTTGGGATGTGCCAGTAATAGGTACCAGCGATGTCACTGATTCTTTTCCAGCCAGGCGGAAGATCCGGATCTGTGTGAAATGAGTGATCACTCCAGATATCTGCTGAGAAATGGAAAAAAGAAAAGGTTTTATTAAAAGAAGAAAAGAGCCTTCCAATTTTAGTATCAATCACTTGGCGAACGTTACAGGCACAGTCTAAATGAGACAAATTTAACCATCCTGTGGATACAAGATATGGTACAAGGGTGATGAAGAAAAGAACAAAACAAGGAAAGAACTGGAAAGGCAGGTTGAAACTTGGAATATGGACATAAAGGCCTCATTATCAAGTCACCCTATATCTCCAAGAACCTGATGAAAAAGCTAATACATGAACCAGAATCAACTACCCATACAAATTTCACATGGTTATACATAGAATCTACTAGATCCCTTTGTCAATTAGTAAGATTTATTGACTAGCATCACATATCACCCCCAGCTATGAGTACAGATAATTTTCTGTAACCACTTTCTATAAATGAATATTTATATCTTTCATGTATTTTAATGACATTTCCTATTTGACTGTAAACATCTACAAAGTAGTAATGTCTTTTCTAATGTTCTAGAATTCTAAACTGCACACAGAAAATTCCCAGGGAAAACAAACTGGAAAGGTCTTGGAATTTAATAAGGGGCCAGACTGATTCTAAGAATAGGCTAGAAATGTAATATATGTACAGTGATGGTTGTGAGACACAAAAGAGAACAGTGGAGACTACAGCAAAAAAGCAAGCATTCAAAATCCAAAGGCATCTGAATTGCACTGTGGGTACCAAATAAAACACATCCATTGGACAATTTCAGTCACATCTGGTCTATATCAATATTTTCTGTTTACTGAATAACTAGTTCCTTTTAAAAATCTTACTTTTGGCCTTCTTTGAATTGAATATGAAACAGATGAAAGTGCTAGAGAAGAGAGGCAATAGAAAAAAATTTCCTACTTGCAGAGGTATCAGAGAAGATTCACAAGCAGCTGTAGCAACAGAGCCAGAAAGAAAAACTTAAACTTGAAGTCTTATCCTGAGCATCACTTTATTCTAAGGGTTCGGCCTTTTTCTATGTGGCCATATAAAAAGCGATCAGATTGCTTTACTGCAATTCAAATGAGAACATGTGTGGGCCTTGATCTGTGCAAATGTCACTGTATCATGTGGGCAGGCGTCACTGAGCTGCTATAGCCACAAGAAGAAAAAGAGGCACAAACAAAGAGGCTGATTAAGACCATGGGCACAGATGTGCATTCATGCAGTTGTCTGGCATCCCAGCATCCACTTTTCTCATTTAAATCTGCCAGAGGCAAAATTGCCACTAGTCTCAAATTATGATGAAAATCCCCCCCACAGAAAAATTAAGCATGATTCTATAATTTCAAGTTAACTAAATTTTGCAGAAACAACTCTAACTACATGTGTTTATGCTCCTGTTTCCTGTCCCTTTTTGAGGAGGTGGAAGGGTCATTTTTTCTGCTGTTTTGTTCTCAGCATCTCAACTGGGACAGGAGAGGTAAAATACATGGTTTAGGAATTAAGTTGGAGAAAGCACTAGCAAGTGGGTTCCTTTACCCCATTCTAGTGCTCGTACAGAAGGAGTTCTGGAGCTACAGAAAGGATGCACAGAAGAAGCTCCTAGTTACCATTTCTGGGGTAAGGAGGTCCTAGGGCTGAGCTGCCTTTACGGGTGGGGCATTAGCATGTGTGAAGAATACCTGCATGCACCATCAGCATATGAAATCACGCCAGACCAAAGGCAAGTGCATTTCAGGTTTGGCTGCCTGGGGAGGTAGCTTGAGGGTAGCAGGAGAGGGGCTTCATGCTGGCTGGCAGGAACTGGACTGTTCTGTTTTGAACCAAACCTACCCACTTTTATCTGGCTCATATGCTAAATTTATGCTGAGATTTTGTTGGAATAACAAAATCCGCAGAAAGCCCCCAGGATATTTAAAAACACCTCAAGTCACAATATAATAGATATCTTTACTTATCTATCAGTGCAGCAAAAATTAAAAAGTATTGTAATTTCAATTATTAGCAGGCATTTAAAAACAATGAGAACTTGTATACACTGCTCACAGAAGGGTAGAGATAATCACTTTGAAAAAAAATAGGAGTGTAAAACTGAAGGTATCTCTATGACCCAGCAAGTCCACACACAGAATACACCCTAGAGAGCTGATGTGTTGCACAGTCATAAGAATATGATTAAAGCAGCCAAAACCTCAAAATGAGCCAAACAATCATTTACAGCAGAATGAATAAATAAATTACAGCAGAATAAATAAATAACAAAAATGAGCCAAGTACAGGTGCACACAACAATACGGATGAATTTCACAAATACATCACTGATGAAACGAAGGAAAACAAAAGAGAACATATGCGCTACATTTCCATTCATATAAAGTTTAAGAGCTAAATTACATTATTTAGGGATATAGACATAGACGGTAAAAGAAATAGAAAACTATAAAGAAATGCAAGGATGCAGCTGCACAGAAAACACAGACTAACAAATATCTGAAAGTAGGGGTTGAGAGAGAAGAGAGTTGATCAGAGAAGGCATATCCGGGGCTTCTGTGGTATAAGAAATGTTTTCTTTCGACTTTGGTGGTGGTGACATGCATGTTCACTTTGTAATTATTTGTTAAACTATATGTTTATTCCCTCCCTCCCTTGTTTCCCTTCCTTCTTTTTTCTTTCCTTTGCTCTCTCTCTCTCTCTCTCTCTCTCTCTCTCTCTCTCTCTCACACACACACACACACACACACACACACACACACACAAAGATAAAGTGAAAAATATTTCATAATTTGGGTCTGGGGCCTTCCTTAGAAAAAACAATTCCCCTCTCATAAAGGACAGAACATTTTCATACATTGTCACAATTCATGCTCACATCAATCCCAGCTGGAAGGCAAGGCTGGGTCCAGGACTGACAGGGCTGATGCCCAAGGGCCATTCCGCTGCTCTGACATTATAAAAGCTACTGACAATAAAGGGACACTGAGGCTGGCCAGGCATAGCACACATCCTTCAGTGCAGGGGCATAAGGGGCATTCACAGCTGCCTTATGAAGGAGGAGCCACTGTTAACCCATTTCTAAGACTTGGAGAAGGCAGCAAATACGTTTAAAGCCAAGGAGGAAAACTGTGTCCTGAAGTAGCAATTGATTTTACTTCTTCAGAGACCTTAAAAACAACCACAATGGACAGCTTGGGAAAAAAATAAAATGTGCAAATAGGAATGAAGACAAAACCAAAGCAAAGCAATGACTGCAAGGCTCAACCTATAAGTCCAGCAGCTGACCTCACCAAGGTCAAGTAGGTATTAAATGATGGCCCCAATCCACCCTGGCGCTCTGGGTCCAGTGACATAGGTACACTTCCACTTCAGGCTGTTACGCATGGTCCTCCTTCATGTGCCTCTCTCCCTGGTTCTGCTCCCATAAAACAGGCCAGGCTCTGCAGCTGGCCAGGGCTTGGCAAAGCCCTCTAGCTGGAAGCTGAGAGACCAGGTCTACCCTCAGGCACACTGTGGAGACTGATCCCCTTCTGCTTCTCCTCTTTCTCTCCCAACCAAGCTTTCACTGAAGATGCTTCCTTCCAGTTTCTGGTCTGCAGTCATCACTGCATCTCACTGAAGGCGCTGTCTCTTGCTGACTAGGATCAGTGGTGGTGGGAGCCACAGGTATCCTTTCAAGTGGCTCTGCAGCCCTTCCTTGTTTTGTGCTTTTTATTTTTTTATTTTTTGGGGGGCGGGAACAGGAAGCAGAGCCTGGAAGTCAGAGAGTAAAAATAGCAAGGCTGAGGGCCTCTTGTGCCTCGAGCCTCTCGGGCCAAAAGCAATACTCTGTGGGAACAAGGGCCTCATCTGTGAGCAGCAAGAACCCACCCACTGCAGCCACCCTGAGCACCAGCTCTGAGGACCTAGCTCTACCCTGGCTTCCTCCAGAGTCTGCTGGCTGGATAGCTTGGGTGAGGACCAAATTTGCCTCAATCTCTCTCTCCCAGGACTCCAAAGGTTCACACGGAAACTAATTAGCATCCAGCAGCTCTGGAAATTTCCTGTGCTGCTGCAGAGGGCACAGGAAGGAGGACTGGGTGAGCTGGGAGTCTGTATTTAGCAAGGTCGGTAGTGCAGAGCATGAAGATTTATTTCCCTCTTGTCTCAGAACGGCATCACTCCCTTCTTCAGTGTGCAAGGCCCAGGGCAGGAAGACGAAGATGGATTAATGCGTTCCACAAGTATTTCCTGTCCACTTTGGGCCAGGCTCAGTTTCTGAGTTGGGGATGCAGAGGTAATCAGGACAGACAGGGCCCTGCACACATGGCAGTGGGGAGGGATCCATTAGCATCAGTCACCTGGCAGGCTGGGGCCATCCCCAGAATTTCTGGCTCAGTATGTCTACAGAGGGCCTAAGAATTTACATTTCTTTCTTTCTTTTTTTTTTGGTACCAGGGATTGAACTCAGGACCTTGTGCTTTCGAGGAAGGTGGTGGAACCACTGAGCTAAATCCCCAGCCCAAGAATTTACATTTCTAATAGTTTTGCTGGTCCAGGAAAGTGCAAAAGGCAGTCACTTTTCTCCATCAAACTCCATCTAACTACTGGGTACAGAATAAAAAATATGAAGTGTATATGCAATTACTCACTGATGCATCTATCATTCTTTCATCCTCCTGTACTGAAGACTTTCAATCCACACCAAGCATTATCTAGAAGCTGGGAATACAGCAATGGATGCAAGAGGTTTACAGGCAATGTGATCAGTCACGTCTAGGGACCAGGTGAGCTGTCTAAACTAGATGGGAAACAACTAGATGGGCCTGCTTTGGCAAGGGACATGGAACAGCACTCCTGGAGGAGGGAACAAGTGCAGAGGTCACTTGGCAGGAAACGGCCTCTGGAGTCGGGGTCAGTGGCTTGGAATTCCCCACCACTTACTCACCACTTAGTTCATGTTTTCTAGACCCAGATTGTCATTGTCAGAATACAGTAAATGAGGCTTTTGATTTCCTCCATTTTGTCATCAACTTTTGAAGACAACAGCATGAA